TGTCATTAAAGTCGATGCGGAAAGTTTGGGTGCGTTCATCCATCATAGTGACGTCCGATATCGCGCCTAATATGTATTGATTTGCCACTTAGCTGTTTCTTGAATCTTACCGCTCCACCCTTCCGTCCGGCGAAAGCTTAACGAGGTGTTTGTTTTGTATTCGTTAGAATGGACGTTTAAGAATACGAATCGAAGGTTTTGTCATATAATTGTGGACGTAATGTAATTTGGAAGAGGCTATGTATTAACAACTTTACGTAGACAACCAACTTTAACAAATGTTTTAAGGCAGGTTGACCCTAGAGTAATATATTTTCTAATAACCCGTCTAGACTTAAGAAATATCTTCTTTATAAATGACAACGTATAATTGCTCTTTCAATTCGAAATTCAAATACTTTTTATTTCATCTCGCAGACGACGGAACCTACCTACGACAGTAAAATAACAATTAAATGTATTAAATATTAAAGAGAAACGTATAATGTAATAACTCTAGATTTTCGTGAATTGCGAAGAAAAAGATTGCGTCACCAAGGTCCCCGTAGGGTGGGGGTGGGTGGCGAGAACAATGGTTTCGATTCTCACACGTGTGGAGGATTATTTGCATTCGGAAATAAAGAGAGGAATGATAAAAGAAAGGCGCGAGTGGGTTCCCGAGGCTGGTGTGGGAATCGGGAGGTGGGTAGCGCCTTCGAGGGGGCTCGTTACGCGAACAATGGAGAAATAATGTACAGATTGCAGTGAGCGATGCGCCGAAGACTCAGGTGTCTTAGCTGTGTGCGGACATCGTGTTTGATTGTCGATGTAAGTGTCAGACTACTCATCGATACTGTAAGAATATAAATCTATTACATACTGTTATAATATTACGTTACTATTCGGCCTCAGCTAAAACTAACCTTTTGAAACACATGACACAATGCATTAAAATACTTAAAGAACTTCATATATTAACGAACGTTTTTAACTGTTGTGGACTCACAAAAGGTTTGCTTATGTCAGTTCCTATAGTGGTAGAAATAGATTGGTATTTACATTTTTGTCGTCATTTTTTGTAGTTGATTTTTTTGCATGTGTAGGTATTGTTATATAAAAAATAAATCAGTGGCGCTACAACCTTTTTAGGTTTGGGCCTCAGATTTCTGTAATTGTTTCATGATCATTTGTTAATCTAATATGCAAGTAGGTGATCCCTTCTGTGCCTGACGCACAGAGACTTTTTGGATCTAAGGCAAGCCGGTTTCCTCACGATGTTTTCCGTCACCGTTCGAGCGAAAATGCGCACATAGAAATAAAGTCTATTGCGATCGAACCTACGACATCAGGGATGAGAGTCGCACGCTAAAGCCACAGGCCAACACTGCAAAATTTTTATATATATAAAGTGTAAATACTTGCCGCATTCGGGTGACCCGTACTGGCAATTAATTTGGTTAAATAAATATGTTACTCATCGTACGACTACTATTTATGACCATTCTAAATTTGAAAATGTATCCCACCGTAATAAGCGTCAAGCGATATTTAAAGAACAGACATAAAGCAGTGACTATTAATGTATGTTCTAAGTAACTGTCATCCTTACTTAACATTCGTCATCACAAGAACCCATTCGATACAGAATCAAATACAATAACCGCGTCCAGTGTCCCATTGTAACGTTGAGATATTAAGTGTGAATGATTTTAATATACGAGGCTGAATCGTTCAAAGATTGCCTTCATAGGAAGCGCAAGCAATCACAACACAATCACTCCATCCTCGCATGACACCGAAATCGTCCTCGTTCATAATAATAAAGTATAAATTAATCCATTTAGAACGGCCGGCACCGACCGACGATTAACGGAAGCGTCTACTTAACTAATTTAACCCGGGTGGTTTTAACAGAATGGATAGCAGTGATTACGGGTGACGGTGACAAGCGTGTGATCTGCACGTTATTTTGATACTCTGTATTTTTAATAACATAGAAATAATGAGTTCACACCATAGACAAAGGATAGACACACCATAGTACACTATATGATGTTTACACAGAGATATAGTAGCCTGCAAGTTGTATTCGCGTTGTAGAATCTATGAGCACAGTTTGTCACTGTTATGAATGTTTTATCGTACAGTTTACAATATTATAATACAAAATTATTTTTAAACTTATAAATATACTAAAAAGTCTTTATTGATACGTAGGTCATTAAATATTTTCGTCACTTCGACTTCAATAAATTTTGAAGTTGAAAAGTTTTTCGAGACGTATTACGAAGAATCCCAATGCAAATCGCTTTAAGTTAATCCTATAAAATCTGAATAGTTATCGATTTCTTCACGATACCATCATCAGACAAAAAGCATTCTAAATTAGCCCAATCCTCTCCGAATAATTGATGAATTTACGAAAAAATAATAAGGAGTTGACGAAACGAAAAACATTTTTTTAATCGGTCCAAAACGGTCGGCCTAATCATAACCTTAAATAACAATTATTATTGTATTTGCGGAATTAAAACTTTAGTATACAGAGCGGATATTAATTTCGAATTGAGCAAACAACAATATATAAAAGTATAAATAGCTTATCCATTTAAAAAATTCCACAGATCAAAAATTAATTAAAAAATCACTATAAATTAACCCAAGCACTTAGTTATAAAAGCTGATACTGATTTATTATAGTGTGTAGGCGTCAGCCATTTAGCTTATTGGAATTTGGAAGCATTAAGTTATTATGTAGATTAGAAATTTTAAGAAATAATCATTGTTAACCAGCTCTAGTATTTCTTGTTTTTAAGTTTATGACCAGATTCTATAATAACTTTAAAATCGTGCGTATTATATTCGATACATATTATTGTATACATTTATAATCTGATCAATACATATCGAATTAAGAAAATTAATTTATTCGAATTTAATTTTAGATGGATGCGATATTAGATTATAAAATTTTATTGCTATTAATTGTTAATAATTTACTATAATAATTAAAATGATCAGAACTTAAATCATGAGGTTGGCTTTATAACAACAATGTATTCTAGGTAACCCCATTACACAATACATACTGTCGAATATGTAATCAAATACATATTGTGATATTTTATATTCGAAACCAAAAGTGATGTGATGCCTAGGACTTGGGACGTATACAAGATATTTATAATCTTACAAGCCGACATTTTAATAACATTGATCAAATAGAACAAAAGTATGTGGACGGAGCACTCGACAGAGATGAAAGTTAAAAGGGTCGGAGGGCGGGCGCTAGTGTGGGGAGGAGAGGGTTGAATGTCTTATTCCCTCCACAATTCAGAGGTATTTCATGTTTTTCATACGCAAATATATCCTCGTTACTGAGGCACACGTGAAACACTATTGCGTACGCGCTTAAGTTGTTTAGGGTTGTCGACCATTATGGTACATTTTTCATAACACTAACGGTATTTTTATAACGTGGACTAAATAAATATACATCGTAATTAAGGCCCAATATGTCAAATGTTAAGATGTAATTGGCAAAAGTTGTAAATAAAAATAAATCATTAATTATTTTCTGGACCTATCAATGTTTGAGATTAATTTAACCTAGTTAAGATTTTCATATATGTTTATGTGTACAATTTTGAAAAAAGCCAAAATTTCAATCAGTGCAAGTTATCAGTTAAATTAAAAATAACAATATTTTTTTAATACAATTATAGCATTAATTTAATTGTCAGCTTGACACATATTGTTATAGGTATCAAGAAGTGACAGCCCTGTGCTCTATATAAACACCATAAACATTTATAAAAATCTCAACAACATTAGTGACAGCAAGAGTTTTAGAATTCTTTAAAAATTATATGTAAATGCATATCAGTCACCTTAAGGGATTATACATTAAGAGAACATATGAAAACATATTTTTCATTCAAGATTTATGGAATTTAAATCATATTAATCATAATAAAACAAACATATTATAACATAGGGGCCTTAATTGAACAGTATATTGAATTCTTTTTATGCAATACCTATGACAAAAGTTATACCAAAAAAAATTACATATCACTAAAATGCATGGTATAAAATATAAACAATCTAAATTTACATCAAAGCTATCAAGTAAATTGCTGTTTATTGAATAAAAAAGTTATTATTTAATGTGTTTTTATAACAATACTCTCGGGGCAGTTGATATATCAAAAGGTCTCTGAAAGGACAATGATGTAAAAAACGCTGACCAGGTTTTTGATGTTATGTGTGGGTTCCCATCATTCCCCACTGACAACTAAAAACAGTTGGTTAGTAGCCTCAGTTTAAATCAGCATTACTTAATTGGAATGATTGTTTATTGTAGGCAGATGTGAGAAACTCTATGTGTAAGTTTATGTAGGGTAATATAGATTTATTGGCAAAGAGTACAAACCATTCCTAAGTAATCCCTAAACTCACCAAACATTTGTTCAAAAGATGTTGCTAGCTGAAAGCTAACTTAACGGATGCATTATATACAATTATACAAAAACTTGTATTATTATGTACAATAAGATGGTTTTAAATAATATTATGTGTAAGTAAAAAGAAATAAAATATTGAATTATATTGTATAATTGTAAACATGACAATAAAAAGGCAATTTCTATTCAATGGACAAAGAGTAATTGTTCTCTGTTTGTACAAAATTGTAGTAGTATATATCTTATTTACCTTAATAATTATAGTATATAATTCCTCATTGATATTAAGTTTTTCTTTCTTTTTTTGTTTTCTTAGACAACACTGGTTGTAGTAGTATAATTATGACAACTTTAATGTTTTATCAAATATTTTATAAATGGTTTAATAAAGAACTAAATTTGATTCTTTTATATCAAATAAAGTGTTCCCCAATTAAATAAAATGCTTGGTTATTGATACTATTCTTTTATTTTACCTACAAATATAACCAACACAGAATAACCTTCAATTTAAAGATTATATTGGTAAGTTTTAAGAGATTTAATGACAAAAACTTATCTTTCATGAAATGCAACAAGGTTTAATAGGCTTACCTCATTTTGATCAAATTCTTGCAGATATCTATCATTTCTATGTTTTTCATACATAGCGCGAGCCAAAGCACTTCTTGGTCTGTATAAACCATTCAATCCACTACTTGCCATCTCTTCATATCTAATTCTTCTTTCCAGAGGTAAATTTAACTCCCAATCAAGTAATTCAAAGTGCTCATGTTTTGGACAAACTTCTCTGTATTCCTTTACACAATAAGAGAAAGGATATCTTGTTAAATAATTTATTTTTCGTGTAACTTTCAATGATTCACAAAGAGTATGAAATACTATTAACAGAAATAATTTACACATTTATATGTAAAGAAATTAGCACAACAATACCTACGAATAATAACCTCAACAATCAACATAAATAATTATATGTGCCTTTAAAGATTTGATCTGTTTTAATTGTTTACTAGTAATATAAATTGAATACCATATTACAAATTTTGATGATTATTTAAGAATAAAAGCAAGAAACATAAGATTTTGCACAATATGAAACACAAGTTCGAACTTCAAGTATATTTTGATACGATTGCGAGTGACAGCTGTTTCTGTCAATTGTCACACTAAGCGCAGGCGTGAATTGGATGTAAAAATATCACTATTTTTATTTATTTATATACAGAATATTGTTTGCTTATTTTAAAATGGTACTTATGGTGTTATAATTCATAACGTAAACAGAAAGGACTGATGCATATGTAAAGTAGTAAATAATAATAATGTAAGTCTACGATTAAAATTTGAATTTACCAATACAGTGTTTATGGTGTTTAATTAATAATGTATCTTTCCGTGAAACTGTTTTAACATGCATCCAATATTTTAACTTTTTATTTTATTTAACTTCCTTGTCTGTTTCTACTATATTGCTGTATCTGGCTGTTACCTAATAAATATGCGTAAATGATATAAATATAATGAATAAATTCAATTCTACTTACCCGTTCTTCTTTCTTTTCAAGGGCTCCTTTTATTACAATTTCTCGGAGAACTGCACTCATCATTTTGATATCACTAGTTTGTCACAAGAGAATTTAATTTCTGATCGTTGTGGATAGGATATTGTTTTAATTGGTCCTAAATAATTTATGAATGTTTTCGCATAGGTAAGTGGTAAAGTTCCAGTTTTAGTTCGACCTTGGCCGTGACCGTACATTCACTGTCTCAGTAACTAACCGATCACTGCAGTAACCGTTAAAGAAAATAAAGAAAAACAACCCGGAAAAGAAGTTTAAAGTAAAATTGAAATGCTTTTGGTCAATTCTGTAGTGGTAGACGTCAGTAGTAATAATTATGATAGAAATATTATTTCAGGTTAAAAGTTTCTTTGAACGTAATAGTTTTTACTTTAAGTTTTACTGTATAAGAAAAACACGAATATATCGGTAATAACTTATATTATTAGAATTATAGGTAAATTTAGACGTGTATTTATTTCCAGTTATTTGAATTGTCACTAATTCGATATTATATTAGTAAAATATATGTTAACTTACTGATTTTTCTATGTTTGGAATCTTGAGTTTGTGAAAACTGTAGGGTGACCGCTTTGTTATTTCCATTTTTAAACCAAACAACTCGACGAGTAGTAACTTGAAGTGAGCCGCTTATAAGTATGAATATGATAGTACTCGTAACATACATTTCATGAGATAATGATTAATACGATAAGAGATAATCAGCTTTAAATTTGATAAGATTTTTTAGTCACGTATTTCGTTTCACTAATCAACATACCCTGGACCCTTGTATATTTACCATAGCGTATATTGGAGTTACATACTGAAATAAATTGCTAAATAGCTTGTTCAGGTGGAACTCTGTATCACCGTATCATGGGGACGTACTTTAGGTAGCAAATTATCAATCGAAACTTTATACTCGGGACATCGAACCGGTATACGATAGAACACAGGTCGAGGTTGAGATTTGGTGCTTGCTTTTTCTCAAAGGGTATAAAGGAGTCTTCACTGTGAGGATGAGGATGCACACGTAATGGTGTGAACAGCTGGACAAGCTTATTCTTAGCAATACCTTGTGTAGGCAGGCTTCCAGGAATTTATTTATATCATAATGATTAAATCTGTAATTGGTTAAAATCTTGTAGCATTTCCACTCATCTTCTGTAGAATCGCTCCACCTAACTCGACAAGTAAACAAACATTAGTTTGCTCCTATCGCGTGTTTGAGACATACATTGTTACGTTTCAATTAAAAAATGAAATCAAAATAATGCACAATTCAGTTCAATATGGTTTTCGATCACGCGCCGATCGCCCGAAGCGTTGGCCTCACGATGGATGCGCCGGCGCACGCGGGACATTTAAAATAATTACAAGCCAACGGAGAAACGTAACAGCCAGTGTTTTGAGACCATTACTTATTTTTAATTCCAAAAATACCTTAAAAGCACACTTAGAGTGTTGTTATGGTGACTAATAAGACTCGAAGATAATTTTCCCATATTTCATTGTATGTTAGACATAACTTTATATATGACGGGTTGTTATCGGTTCTTCAGTATTTTTAAAATTTAGAAAATAAATTTCTTAAATGACGTTTTTGGGTATATCATTAAGGGTCTTATGGTAGTTTAGCATGATTTAATTCCAGCCTTATAATATAGACATAGACAAATCCTGCACTTGAACTCTGTAACTCTAAGTGATTGCGTTTCTAGCGTCAAAGTTGCTTTTTTGTACCGCCCCATTCCAAGGTTGCGACATCGGTGCTGTATTGAGTTGTTACATCGAAACTGAAAAACAGTATGTGTATAGCTCTCGGAAGTTATAGAGTACCAACGCTGTATCAAGAGATGTTCATCGATGCTGGATTTAAATTAAACTGTGTTCAAAGCAAATGTGTGCGCTGTTGTTGCTGTAGGGCATACTAATTATTGTATAATTGTACAATATCGTTTTATCTTAAGAGCAAGGTGTTTTTAAAACAAAAGCAAGCGGTCAGTTTAATTTAAATCCGTGCTTGTAGTTTTTGCACCCTCAACCGCATTCTCACAGCGGCGAGACTTGATGCACTTCAGTTCTGATTGGATCATTACCGAGTTCATCATACCCCGTGCGATCCTCGGGCTACGAGGGAGATAGACTGACCACCATGTACCGAAGAGAAAGAGACGCAGCACGAGCACATCACCCAAGAATTATTTCATATCATGATTATTGGAACTTTATTGCACTCCGTAACTAACAATTGACATTAGGAAATGCAATTTTATATTGATTTCGTAATCTCGCCGGTCGTTTATTTTTATCAAAGCAAATCTTTCTATGATTTGCGGCTAACCATCGTGCAGGTTGTTTATTGTTCAGAGAATGTCATTAAAAGCTCGATGGGGATTAAGCGAGCTTAAATTTTCACGTAGCGCGGCAGGAAATCACTTTAACCGTCACTAAGGGTGAGAAGAAACCGAGAAATTATCTTTTCGACTTTCGTAACCGCTAAACGGGCCAATTACACGATACAATTTGAATTATTGAGATATCAAAAAGTAATGATTTTTCACACCGGCCGGAAGGTGTCGTAGAGATCACGTAGGCTGCCTATCAGTGATTTCGGCATGATTATAATCATCACGTTTCTAATAAAGTTCCTCAGCTGGACATCGACTCGGTGCAACCGCATTTATTGTTGTTAATAGCGGCTTTTTTGTTAATAAACTGTATACAAAATGCTTGTTACCGCAAATATTGTCTTGTTCAACATCTTTTGTATCAGGAGTAGTAATTTTACTTGCGTTGGTGAAATATCTGGACTTTATTTAAAGGTTAATAAGGCAGATAAGATAAGATCAGCGACCAAAGTAGAGGACATTATAAAGAAAGAAAGGCAATTTAAATGGCACTGGACCGGGCACATGACTAGAGATAGCAGGTTGAAATGGACAAAAATAATTACAGAATGGCAACCACGCGATGGAAAAAGGAAGAAAGACAGAGCATGAGATGGGCAGACGATATAAAGAGAATAGGAGGCACAACTTGGACAAGAAGAGCTAACATCAGAAAAGAATGAAAGCAGCTGGAAGAGACCTATGTGTCACAGGACACGCTGATTACATAAAACGGGTCATATCATGTATTTTTTTTTGTGTATTAGAATTAAATTTTATTATGTAACCGAAATAAGTGTTACATAATAAAACTGGGTGTCAGCAATAAACGCTTAATTATAATAATAATAATAATAAGGCAGCACAAGTGATCTTAGATAATTTGTTAACTATCATTATTTTATTCAGTAAATGATAATCCAGTACTATTTATTGGTCTTTGCCTAAAAAAAATATTTTATAGACAAATAGGTGACAAGACATGCTTCTTAAAAATTATACGTCTTCATCACACGATGTTAATTACGTCCATAGATTAACAATGTATAATCTCAGTCCTAAAATTTACTACGGTTCTACAATTTTGAAAATAGAATTTAAATTATGTATATTAAATGTCTGTAATTTGTGGTTCGCAATTGAAATCTATAATTCGATTTCTACTATAGACGAATAGTGCTGATGGAAATGAATTAAATTTAATTCGAATAATTGAAGTCGATTACAAGACAAAGGGTTGAGTAAAGGATTCAATTTTGTACGTGATGAGATGCTTCATATCATTCGATGCTTGGCTACACCATGAAGTATTTTAAATAGTGTGTACTGATGGGAACTTCTTGTATAAAATTGCGGTAATAATAAATTGTAGGTACTTGAGGTATTACGAGGTAGCTACTATTGTGTGCTATTTTTATGAAATATATAATTATAATAATTTATTTAAACAATTTAATTCCGCAATCAATCCTGTTTAAATTAAAAACAATTATAGAACTTTGTTGTTAATAAGGTTAAAGGTAATATTCCTTAATCAGTGACTCTTCAACCTTTTAAGGCCTGGGCCTCAGATTTCTGTATCTGTTTCATGATCATTTGTCAATCTAATTCGCGTTTATTAAGTAGGTAATCAGCCTCCTGTGCCTGACACACGCCGTCGACTTTTTGGGTCTAAGGCAAGCCGGATTCCTCACGATGTTTTCCTCCATCGTTCGAGCGAACGTTAAATGCGCACATAGACAGAAAGTCCAATGGTGCAAAGGGGACAGAACCTACGACCTCAGGGATGAGAGTCGCACGTTGTAGCCACTTGGCCGTGTTGACCTGATATAAATATCGCCTTCTTAGCTTTATTTATTTACATAACAGGTTATTGATAATAATAAAAAAATAATTTAAATTTAAATTTAAATTTAAAAAAAAATAGCCAATACTGATGAAAATCAATATATAAAATGAATACTATGTACTAACAAAGACAATGTACTAATAATTAGCTCATTGAGGTGTGTGGGAATGTGCAATGTGTGGAGGTGTATAAGTGTGTGTGTTATACTTCAATAGCGTGAATACTATGTCAAGTCAAGTCGTCGTAGTTAACGTCTATCTATAGATTCATTACCCTATAAAATCCTAGATTCTAAGCTGCAACAAAAATTGTTTCGGTTAGACCTGGTCTCTAAGTAATAGAACTCCGAATACGCAAACAATGGAAATGAGAAATATTCTTTCCTTTAGTATTGTGAGGTTAATATCAGCATATTTTAATGCAAGTTTAACAGGATTGAGAATATAATAAAGGCTTGAAATCATATCTCATTACTTAAGTTAAACCGCAACGGTTGTAGACAGTCTGAAGCAGATGTTCAACTGGCAAAAATGTATTAAGGTACTGTAAACACAAGCGAAATTAAACTCTAAATCATTTGAATAAAGTTTTAAATCGAATAAGGTATTTTAATCTGTAAGTTCAGTGAATTAATACAGAGGCTTCGTTAGAGGCTCCATAATTAAAAAGCGAAATGACGTCTGCGCGTGAACGCGCTGAAAGTTAAGTGTGAGTGATGCGCAGGCGTCGTTTCTTACTTTTTTATGTTAAATATGACTTGCAATATTGAAAAATGTATACTTTTTTTAAACAAGCAGGAATTATAT